GCACTGCCATCTTCAGAAGTGTTGATTTTTCTGAAGAAACTAGGAATTACCCCTGAGGCTGGAGTAAGAGAAAGTGACACAAGATGAAAGCTCACAATGGTCTCCTCTTCCTCACATTCTCCTCCCACAAAGCATTATGTAAAGCAAATCATCTAACTTCATGCTTAAAATGCCTTAATAAATTCTTCATGCCCTTGAAAAAAATTGCAAAGTCAGTTCAGACTCCAGTGCCCTGGCTTCTGTTTGCCTCTTTAAGCTTATGACAAATTCTTCCTTCCTCTACTGGAAATCAGTCATATGATCCTCCACCACCTCCACGTACCTGCAAACTATTTTCCAGGACCCTCAAGCTGTTTTCAGCTTATTTCCCCTACCACAAGAATATTTTGCGTAGGAAGTTTCTTTAAACAGCTATTTCATTGTGTTCTTCAGGTAAACTGAAAACTTAACTCCCCAAGAGCTCTTTCTGAATACCTCTTTATTGTCTATTGTCTACAAGAATCATCTATTTATTTCCTTTTTGTAGTCTATTACTGTCTAGTGTTTATGGTACATCTTCTAGTGTAAACCTCAGTATGACAGGGGCCATATTTGTTCTCTGGAGTATACATAGGGCCTAGGATACAGGAAACTGATGTATCATAAGCGCTCTTTGAAACAAGTGAATAAAAAGATATTGAATATGAAAGAGGTCATTAGAGAAGCAAGATCTTTTGAACACTAAAATATAGTCTAGATTTTTTAATAAATGTAAGGGGAATTCAAAACTAGTTATGCATAGGTAACTGAAATTATAACATACATAGGTGATTAGATAGATAGATAGATTCAAGAAAATTATGAAGGTTGTGCAAAAACATGCTTGGAGCAGGCCAAGAATAAAAGGTAGGGATAGATGAAGAAGCTATTTGAATACTATACGTCAACAGAGGGAATGGTCATAGGAAAGTGTTTAGGGTAAGGAGGATGAAAAATGGATCCCATTGGTACAATGTTCATCTAGATCAAAGTATTCAGGGCAAGAAACGAATACCAAGAGGTGCTTTGATTTCTAGTTGGTCAAGCCAGGCCTGGAAGGAAGGAAGGAAGGAAGGAAAGAAAGAAGAAAGAAAAAAAGAAAGGAAGGAAGGAACAAAGGAAGGAAGGAATGATGGAAAGAAGGGAAGAAGGAAGGAAGGCAGGCAGGCAGAATTCGTCTGTGATAATTAAAGGGACATTTATTTTCTCATAATTAAAAGAAAGTTTAAAATAGGTAATTCAGATGCCAACATACTTTCCTTTTTTTGTTTCTTATTTTTTTCTTTATGAAGCCCCCACCCAATGTCTGTATATTTTTTTCAGTCAAGTATATTTTCAAGGTGACCCATGTATTTTTAAAGAGGGAAAAATTAATTTAATCAAAGATGAAAATGAAATAATCATTGTCTAACTTGAGAAAGGAAATTTTCTAAAGAAAAAAAATCTTTCAATCTTTGCATGGCAATGTGACATGTTACTAACTTTGAATGACGTAGTCTACCAGTTATATCTTTCAAAGGCAATAAGTACATATGCAGTCTGTTAAACTTTTACATTTGAGTTATGTTGAATTGTACTTTGTAGAAAAAATAGCTATAATTTTCCTAAAATTAAAAAATTTATGAAAAATATATGGAAAATGTTCAGGTGTTAAAATGTAATAAGGAAAATGTTCTATATGTAATGGAAAAATCAATTAAGGAAGAATATTAAAATTTGAATGCTAGGGGACACTATAACATACTATGATCTGATATTAAGACTACTTTCACCCATAAAATTGAAATTAAATCTCCTTATATCATATTGCATAAATTACCTTTTTATTGATTATACGATTCTGTGGAGATGGTTTAACTGTCTTTTTTATGATATGGAAGGAATTTAAAAGATGCCTTTCTTTGCTACTACTATTGAGAAAAGATCAAAAGAAGTGGCTTCAAGGTGTAAAATGAAGACCATATGGCCCAAGCAAGGACAGGTTCGTTATCCTGTTAGTTGTTAAACTGTCAGATAGATTTCTCAAAGAGCCCCTGTACTTTCTCTCTCTGTGAAGTTTAAGATACAGATTCATCCTTTTGGGATAAGTTATGGGAAGTTTTATCTAAAGATCTATCACTAAATTCAACCTTAGTGAACCGTAAGTGATATTTCTAACAAATAAACTCTTACTCTCATATACTGATATTAAAAGTTTAGGTCAGATATCCTTATACATTTTATACAAATATAATGAAAAACTGAATCATGTAAGCAAACTATAGTCAACTCAAACTTGCTTAGAGACTTGACATTAAGAACTGATCCATAAAGCTCTTAAAAGAAAATGGGAAAAGTCTCAGTAATATTTTTGGCCATATCCCCAAACTTTAGGTTGTGAAACAAAAATAAAATAAGTAATACTACATCAAACTAAAAAAAAATTCTGCACAGCAAATGCATGAATGAAAAAAAGACAGGCTGTAGAATGGGGAAATATTTACAAACCATATATGCAATAATGGGTAAATATCCAAACTATATAAGAAACTCAAAAAACTCAGTATCAACATACAAACAAAAATCCCACAAACAACTTGATTAAAGATTGGTGAAATATTTACGTTCATCCAGGAGACATACTAATGGCCACTGGATGCAAGAAAAGATGCTCATGTCAGGGACCATCAGGGATATGCAGACCAAAACTGCAATGAAGCTCCATGTTACACCTGTTAGTATGGCTGTTACCCAAAAACCAACAGGTAATAAGTGTTGGTGATGGTGTAGGTTAAAGAAATGTTGTTGGTATTAATGCAGTTTGATAGCCATTTGAAAAATAAGGTAGGACTACCATATGCTCTAGCAATCTCAATTTGGGGCATATGTCTGAAGAAAACAAAATCATTATCTTGAAGATGTATTTGTACTCTCACATTTATGATGCCATTTTTCATAAGGCAAAAGATCAAATAACCAAAATATCAACAGAAGAATGGGTAAAGAAAATTTTCTGTAAATACTATTCAGTCTTAAAAAGAAAGAAATCCTGCTACTTATGACAACACAGATAAACTTGGAGGACAGCACATTAAATAAACTAAGTTATATATAGACAACAGACAGACATCTACTGCATGATCTTGCTTGTACATGGAATATAAAAAGGAGTAAAACATAGCAATAGAGAGTAGAAGAGATGCTACCAGAAGTCAGAAAGTGGGAAAATGGGAAAATATTGATCAAACCATATAAACTTGAACTTATAAGATGAATAATCTATGGAGACCTTACATATCATAGTGATTACAGAAAGTATCACGTTAATATGAAATTTGCTTAGAAAGAGTCTAAGTAATCTTACCACAAAAATACATAAAATTAAAAAAAGTAACTATATAGAGTTAGTTTTATTTTGATGACCATTTTATATGGTATATGTATATCAATCATACTGTATAACTTGAAAATATACAATTTTATTTGTGTATAATATTACAATAAAATGCATACCAATATATATATTGAAAAAACTCATATTTTGTTTTGCCTCATGTTCCAACATTGCTTAGCTTGACTACCAGTTTCTGCATCTACTTAAAATTTGGTACTTCTTCACTGGAGATTTGGACAGCATTAATCTTCATTTCTTAAAATACTGCTTAAAGTATTAATTTAAAATTGCATGAAAAGATAATTAATTGAACTTTCATATTTGTGTAATCACACACGCATCCATTCATTACTGCTTTTTGAACAGGTAATTTAAGGTGATAATTAAGGAATTTTCCATACATGAATGACAGCTTTAGTTACCACGCTTTGTAACCATGGGAACAACAGGGTAAGCTAGCATGAATGGGAAATACAACAGCACATTTGACCTTAGTAAAGAAGCAATTGGTTATTCAAAGTTTCATAGACGTGTGCAGTAGCCTGCAACTCACTACCGAGTAGACTCCATTTATGAAGGTATTTTTGGACTCACTAGTCTTCAAACTATTGGTTATAGACACACAGTGAAAAATTCCTGAAGTGCCTCTCCTTCTACTGTTAGGAGAAATGTTTTTTAAAGTACGAAATATGTAGCAATTCATATAGCAAATCAAAAGTTTTCAAGCCTGTAAGAGCACACAGGATCAGAACATTTTTTTCTCTTACATGTAAGTGAAAATCTACATTATTAAACAAGACAGGTAGCTTTGCCTTTAGTTTTTCTGAGATGTTACCCAGTTAATGTACTTTCTTTATTTTTGTGTGAAGCCTCACAAAATTCATCTCTCTTTCCCCAGTGTACCTCATTAGTGCACTATAATCTACAATATTCAAAAACACTGAGAACACTCAGTATTCATCACTGTGAGAAATACACATAAAATTTAATGGACAATATGTGTTATGTTCTGTATTAAAGTTCAGATGCATGTACATTTGTGCTGCTGTCCTGGGAAATGACCCTTATTTCACTCTTAGTTTTATCATTAACACTAGCTAGCACCGTCATTCGTACCTATCATATGTTTAAGAACTTTTGTTTAATAAAGAAAGAAAGGAATATCATTAATCAGTATAATGTTTGGATGTATAACTATCAGTTTTTGAAGGTTTTAAACAAAAAAAGGAAACTGTATTTTACTAAAATTAGCAGCCAGCGAACCCAGGGCTTTTTTTCCCTTCTTCCCTCTTTTCCTTCTTTCTTCTCCTTTTCTTTAAACAAAAGAGAGTATGAAGAAACTGTGTGTCCAAATTTCCAGTTTTCCAAAGATTTAAACAAGCATGGATGTACAGATACTTCTGCTCAACCCCAGAAATTAAAAATACCTTGGAATACCATCAGTATTATTAAATGGCATAAGAATTTTTCCTACAGAAAAAGAAAATAAAGCACATCTCTCTAGTCTTGAGAATCATTAGTTTCAAAGAATGCAGGTAGAGTAGAAAAGAAAAAAGAAAAAGCACAGGCACTGCATAACGGAGGCAGGATTTGAGATCTAACATGTCACCTTGCTGCTGCGGTAGTGATGATCTTCAGACTGCCGGGGTTCCGGATAAGCTTGTCCAGAATGCTGACAATCTGCTCAAACTTGGGTCTGTTGTTTCTGTCTTTCTGCCAGCAGTCCAGCATCAGCTGATATAAGGCAGCAGGGCAATCCATGGGGGGTGGCAGGCGATAACCCTCGTCCACAGCTTTAATTACCTGTGTGAGAAGTACAGTTCTCATAGACTTAAAAATTTGGGTTTATTTTACTTCTTAACTCACATCTATGTGAATATTTTAGAATTAATTTTAAAACCCACCATTGTAAATTGATTGAAGTCACAATGGCTGATCAAACAAATGTCAAATTATTCATGAGTGAAATACAGAAAGGAAGATCAAGAGAGGCAAAGTAAATTTAGTGAAGTGTTCGTAAAGATCCTTGGCCGATTAAAATAAAAAGCAATGCTCCATGGCGTAGAAACTTTGTTATAAAAATTTTATAATAATTATAAAAAGTATTTAGTTATACAGATTGCTGTGGAAGTCTTATATGAATGCATGCAAGAAAACTGATATACAAATTTGTACCCTACCACAATTCTAATGATTTCTAAATCATAGCAACTTCCTCTGGTAAAATCCTATGTATTGCACAATTAAGTAGCTGTTATTTAGTTAGTATTTTCAAAACATGCAAAGTGAGGATTTTCAAACTTTCATGTACATCAGAATATCTGGAACACTTGTTATTTTTGTTTTTGTTTTTTGTTGTTGTTGTTTGTTTGTTTTCCGGTACCAGGAATCGAACCCACGAACTTGTGCCGCTGAACTAAATCCCCTTTCCCCTATTTTTAGAATGCTATATCCTCAATTTTTTAGTTTCTGAATCCAATGGTCTAAGGTCAGGCCTGGGAATTTATATTTGTAAAATTAATTGTTGTAAAATTACTGATCCAGAGACCATGCTTCGATATAACCATTCTCTGATATGAAGATAAAATATAAAAGCGAGCGAGAGAGAGAGAGATGTGGAAAATTAAGCCTCATTTTCCTTGTATTATTAAAATCAAAAACAAAACAAAACAAACCCATCATGCTATTGGAAGTAAGGAAAAGTATACATCTAAATACCTTAGAGGAAATTTTGTAAGTTAGTGAGTAGCAAATGACTGAAAACATTTCAGGTTGACTTCTTGTACATCGTGGGATCGTGCTCAAAGTTTGTGGTTAAGGATAAAGTACTGACTTCAGATCTAATGATATCCTTTCACTAAGCATTAGCAAAATATATGCCATAAAACCAAACTACCTTTGGAAAAACAATCCTATCACAGTTACAATAAAACACTTAGGATAATTGCCCTATCTAAAGACTTCAAAGTTATGAACAAAATGCATGTGCAAGTTTATTACATTATCAGAGATGTGATAGAGACTGATGATTTTATATCATTTTTTGCAATGCTAAATTTAAACAAACACAATGTTGAAATAGATGCATGAAATTAATCAAGAAAGCATGGAAAACTTGCATCTTAATGTTGCAGAGAAACAATTTTGTAGCAAAAATATTTCAAATACACAATGATATATATTTGATTTTCTTATTGGTCACTTATGTTAGTTCATGTTTAACCCAAAAATGTCTGATCTTGTCACATTCCTAAATCCCTGTTTGATGGGAATGTTCAAGGATGTAAGAGCAATGCAATTAATATTCTTGTAAGAGTTAGAAGCAGCTTCATTTTTTCTGAGTATTCTATTTCAATGTTATAAACTATGAGCACCTGGTTTCATTATGCTTCACTTCCTTGCACAGCTTGATCTTTTAATCTGAACTCATAACTCACAGACTACAGATACATACTTACATCCTGATTGGACATCTCCCAGTATGGTCTTTCTCCGTAAGACATTACCTCCCAGAGAACAATCCCATAGCTCCATACATCACTGGCTGAGGTAAACTTGCGATAGGCGATTGCTTCTGGGGATGTCCAACGGATTGGGATTTTCCCTCCCTTCAAACAGAAAACCACGTTTAAATAAACAAGTAATGCATAGAACATACAACATACATAAATATTTGAAATCAGAGAAAATTTGTCGGGGCATTTTTATTCTGAAATGGAACATAGGCTCCTGCTAAAATATCTTGATATTCTATTTTGATACCAGGCAGAAACATTCCATTTATATCAAATTTACTTATACATAATGTTGAAGAATTTCATAATCATAAAAAATAGAAAATTGCTTAAATATCAATATTTTATATTAATTTTGACACCTTAGTTAATCACCTGTAACAAAATAGAAATATATTGGCTACAATATACCTAAATATTAAAATAGATATCAAAATCATCCTTTATTTAGCATAGGTTTATGTTTGACTAAGCAATTTGTTCAGAAAAAAAATTTAGCACCTGTACATAATTTAGAATGCTTTCCGACACATATGCTTACAGATATTTTAACTAAGTACATTTAAAATGAAATTACATTTTAAAAAATCTCTTTGATTGATCAATCAGCCATTTTAAATGTTACTAATACAAAGAAATAAATGTTTGAGGAATTGGATGTGACATTATGTTGCTCATTATATAATGTATACGTGCATTGTAAAGCTACATGTTACTCCATAGGTATTATGCAATAACTAAAATTTTTAAATCTTATGAGATATTATAATTACATTCCCAGAATTTATGGTCTGGAGAAGAATAACCTTACCTCATTGGGTTAGAAGCTATAAATTGCATAGTTTTCACAGAATTATTATTAAATAATTTTAATAAAAATATACCAAATATCAGCCATATGGAAAGTACTGTACAGGTCACTTTGGGTAAGACTACTATAAATAACAATCTTTTGTCAGGGAAGTGTTAGGCAAATAGGAATGATAATAATTTGTTGCGAATAAATGTAGAAAAATAAGCTCAGATACGTTCCTTTTCAAATTTTAAGTGCATGTATATCATGGAGGGTTCAGCCTATTAAAATGAAAATTTTGATTCGAGAATTCCAGTGTCTATATTTCTAACTCAGAAGTGATGCAGATTATTCTGGCCCACTAAGTAGCAAAGAATGGCACCTCCTGTGGGTGCTTAGACCAAATCTGGGACTTTAGGATTCAAAATTTCAAGTATTACCTATTAATTTTAAGTTATATTTAATTTAAACTATTTTAATATGTTGCACTTAAAATTTAATCAGAGTGCCAAATGACATCATTGGATATACTTTCCGTTCCTTAAAGAACTCAGAGAATTAACAAGAGTCAAAGTTGTGAACATGCAACAAAGGAAATAGAATATTTTTAAGTATCAGTTACAAAGGCTTTCCCATGATCCCATGTTGCTCTTTCATTTGATTAGAACCAAATGACGGAAATCACACTACAAATAGGAAAAAAGTCTTTCTATGTTAAAAACTTTGTATCTGTTTAGAAATGAAAGGTTGGTATGTGTTACCCTACCAAAGTCACTGGTCGCAATCAAACTATATTAATTAAAAATAATCATAGATAAATAGCAGAAAAGCCTATTTATTTACTTTTATTGCAATCACATGAAAATGGAACACACCAAAGTTGTTTCACCTTAAACTCATCATTATGTTTTTCAGAAAGAAGAGCATTTTTATTTTAATCAAAGTTCTTACACTGAACAACTGAAAAGTTGTCTTTTTATTTTTTTGGTTAGTATCGACATAACCATACCCATGTTTAGGTTGAGATATAATGCTATTGAAGAGGTGTCTGCTGAATTCTTATGCTCACCCTTTCCTGCGGGCTCTGCTCCTCAGAACCCCTTACTTTGCCCTGAACTTTGTAGAGTGTGTAGGCTAGTGCAGTAGCTGGTTACAGATTCAGGTAAATTACTTCCAAGACAATTTTCCAATCAATGCCAATTTTTTCACCTATATAAATCTTCTTAGAAGTTTTTTTTAAACAACTTATACAAATGGAGAATGTGTTTGGAAAAAAGGTATTGTAAATTATATTACTAATAGAAATCTTTTTAAAAATTCTCCTCTCTTCCTGCCATGTTTTATAACTGCTGTGACCTACAGATTACACACTCACACACACACACACACACACACACACACATCATGCTTCTGTTATAATAACATCAAACTTTTCAATAGTATGATTTCTTAGGTCTAAAAATAAAATGATAATCATAGATTTAATACTCTCATCGCTTCCCCAGCCAGGCATCTTGTAAATGATACCATTATCACGAGAGTCAGGAATTGAATTAAAACAAGTCAGTATTATTACTCAATATTTAGCAGACATTTTGTCATTGGTAATGGGCTTATGATATATGTAAAGAAACTAATACAGCAGCTCATTGTTAGTAGAATGCTCACTAGATGTTTTGCCCTTCCTGCTGTCCCAATCACTTCAATAGGTTAGCACAACTTTCCTGTAGTTCTAACTATAGAAGAGATTTCAAACCAGCAAAATGTTGACACAGTTTTTAAAAACAGTATCTATGCATGCTCTCACAAAATCTTTCAATTCGACACTGTAGTTTCACACTATATTCAGCACTGGTAAAATGAGTTCAAGTAGGTTTGTCTTATCTTTTGACATAAGTAAAACTGGTGTATGTACCCCAACTCTAATTTGAAACCATGAGCCTACAAATAGCTGAATATTTTGTAAAGCTGAATACAAGGAACATAACTCACAGGAGCCTGTGCTCACTAGAGAATTGTTGGCTTCCACATAAGTGTATTATCTTGGCTGCTGTGCAGAGTAGGCATTGAGCAAAGGCGTCTTGATCTCAGTTGTTCCCCTTTCTTTTAAATATATGCTACCTTCTTAAAAACATATTGTACTTTTCTCTTAGGTGACTTTTTTCCCCATCTGACCTCTGTTACCGGTAAATAGTTTTATTTGAACATTCTGCCAAATAAATTGTCCTTAGTGGGACATTTGGGAATCTTCCCGGCAGAACTGGTTTATCTTCTGTGATCTTTCAACTTCTGAAAATATCCTGCCTTAATATCCTCAGCTTTGCATTCTCATAGTTTTAAATTGAATTCGGATGCTGGGCATAGTTGCAGCATGAGGATCAAAAGTTCAAAACCATCCTGAGTAACTTCCTGAGACTCCGTCTCAAAATAAAATACCCTGGAGGTTTACTTCAGTGGTGCAATGGTAGAGCACTTGCCTAACCTGAATTCTTTGGATTTAATATTTCATAATGGAGAGAGAGAGAGGCTTTCTACCTCTCTCATTTGCATCTTATTTAATGTAATTTACAGTGTAATGTCAATTGAGAATTTGACTTATTATTTTATTGACATAGAGTAGTGTGTTAAATAAAAGATCTTTGATACTATTTGAACTTTTCAATTAATAAGTTAAATCTGTTTTTCAGAGTGCATCTAGACATTAATAATAATGAATGAGCCAATATAAATACCAGATAAGTATGCAGTATAATTTCATTTTTTGGAAATGAATATTATTTTCTGATATCTTCCTCTCTTGCCTATACTGCTATATAATAATGATGTTACATTAGAGCATTTTAATGTCTCCACTATAGTAAATATAAAATTTACTATGTATCAGTTTTTAGTATCCACAAAATTATGAAAATTTACCACAAGCTGTTGTACAGATTCAGTGTTTTAGAATTTGCAGATGCTAAAAAGGTTTTTATTTGACTCTGTGAATGCTATATAATCTATAATCAATTGATTCAATATTATTGTATTGAAAGTATGAACTTTACCAAGTTAAAAACACCAAAAGAATTTTTAAAATATCTTTAGTGTATGCACATAGATACTACTCTATTCCTTTGTATAATGAAACTCAATAAAATTTTAAAGTATAAATTTATGCACAGGTCAGATCTATATGCTGATTAAAATGTCTGACATATTTCCCTGCTATATAAATAAGTTTATTTAAGATTTGGATCCAATGTCTTCATAAACAAAAATGAAGCATCAAAGCTAAAGTAGTCATTATTGAAATTTATAACATGTGGGCATATTAGCATTTTCAAGTGTTAGATCAAAATCAAATGAAAATAAAATTTTAGTAGGGATAAAAGACTTACCATTTAATTCATTAGGTTTGTGATATCCCAAAATTCTGTGTTCTAGGAGACCAGAGAGGAGGTGGCTAACATGTTTGCATTTTCTCACAAATAGCAATGTGTCATATTGCACCGTGTAACCTGCTCCCAGTGTGGATACGGAGAACTAAGAAGCACCGAAGAGAGTGCATGGTCCCCATTCTCATCCTTTCTGTTCAAGCTGCATTGTTATCTATTTCTTATTTATTTATTTATTTATTTATTTATTTTTGGTACTGGGAACTGAACTCATGACCTTGCGCTTACCAGGCAAGTGCTTTTGCCACTGAGCTGTATCCCTAAACTTGTTATTTATTTTAAAAGTAAGTAATTTTCAGATTAAAAAGAAAAAGTTAAATTCACAGGCTGTAACTTTGTTTTTTATCATTAATATGTGGTATGATATTATCACTAAATTTAATGCCGTTTAGATAACTTTTTAAAAGAGATGTTTTGCCTGTTGAATCCCAGCAGAAAACGTTATTGTGATCTGTCAATAAGAGCGCTTCAAGGTTAACCCATATTTATTTTGAGTTTTTAAAAAAGTTAGTATTGTTTTTGATTGATAGATAACAGCTCATGTTTTTGTTGTGCGCAATATTATATTTTGAAATGTACGTATGTAGTGGAATGTTAAATCTTCCTAATTAACAAGTTCATTACTTACATAGTTATCATTTTAGAAATGAGAATTCGTAACATCCCATCTTTACGTTTTTCAAATGTACAGTATAATCGCACTAAATATGGTCACTGCTGTGTATCAGGTTTTTCGAAATTTATTCCTTCTATGCAAATAGACATAGGTATCATTTTGGCAGAGACTCCCTATTGCTGTTTCCGGTCTTTGATAATCACCACCCACTCTTCACTTCTATAAGACTGACATTTTAAAAAATATC